ACATTACAACTTGGCGTGTGACAATATTTTAGGGGGACCAAGGGCCAGGTATTTGAAGAAAGGTGTGGTTACTAAGTGGCTCTTCAGATAACAGGATGGTACACATCAGTACTGAGTGCCGCATATTGGCGATAAGAACAAGTCAACTGCCTTGTCTATTACAACTGTGAGCCAAAACAAACGGGGTGCCTTGGCTATGCCTTAAAAACGGTAAAACATGTTATTTCGAGTTAAAACTTTTGATCCAACACAAAAAGTTCTCTCACCAAGAGCTTTCGACCAGTCACTCTGATCTTCCTGTGGACCAAACGTTTTAACTCTAAACATGTAACAACCAACACAGATAAACTTTCATGATGGTAAAACATGTGACATAATCTGCATTGCTGAGATCATTCACGTACACGGGCATAAATTTAACTAATTTTAGTTGGATTTACTTCATGTAAATTTGAATAGCTGACCGCTACATCAATACTGTTGTAGACTCATCAAATACAGATCTGACTACAGTTTCAGAGTAGTTACAAAACTGCAAACTCGAGGCTAATAGGGACAAATGTAAAGTTATGATTATCACTACCCGCCCCCTTCCACAAAGGATTCCCTTAGTCATCCTAGCCGGTACCATCTTACAGATTGTCCACAGCCACAAACATTTGGTTGTGACCCTAACCAGGAAACTCACCTGGTCTGTTCACATCGAAGCAACAACAAACAAGGCAAGACGTACTGCTGGAATGCTCTGAGCCCTCCAGAAGAAGATGTCTAAGACCATATTACTACAGCTGTACAAAGTCATAGTCAGACTAGTCTTAGAATACGCTGATATCTTTTGCGGTGGTCTGACTAAGAGTGAACAAAGGACTGTTGAATCGGTTCAATACCGATCAGCCAGAGTGATAAGTGGACAAGACGGGATCCCTTACCCCTCCAACCAATCTCTCTACTCTCAGTTAGCGCTCCCTTCACTTATTTTTTGTCGTAAGTTCCACAAAGCAACCACTCTGTACAAACTGAAGAATGGTCAGTGCCCGCCCCACCTAGCTAGTACCACCTCCGTACGGAATCCTACGGATTTGGGAGCACGCAGACACGCCGTAGAACTTTAAGTGCATGTAATACTTTTTCTACGTGCGGTCTGCGGATTTACCACCCGTGCGTGCGAGTACGTGCGACGCGCGTTCCCCGTACAGCCTATGAGCGTGCAACGTACGGACTCCGTGAGTCTAACTTCACTATTCTCAGGTGCAATTGCTGTACGGACAGCGCACGAAGCACGCGCGTGCCACGCACGGTGCTTGCGTCATCCGTGTTTACTCCTCACTTCCCAGTTGACCTGCTCAATGACCACGCAGAACACACATGCACCATACCAGGTGCTCCGCACGTGCAACGCACGTGCAACGCACCTGATCTCTACAGTATATAAAGACAACTTGACGGGCGACTCCCAACTCGTCTCCAAGATGCCCAGGAAGGCTCAGAAGAAGACTACTAGACAAGACCCAAAGAAACGGGCCGCGGAAGACACCAGGGCGGCTAGTGATGATGAAGTTAACAGGAGGTGCACGCACTTACAACGCGCGAGTGAATAAGGAAACCGTGCGTACGCCGCACGTGTAGGTACGGCCTGTACGCGGCAACGTAGCAATCGCACAGAGATCGTGCGTTGTAAGCACGTACAACTCACTTACCACTTGCGCAACGTACGATGCACGCAACCGCTGACGGCCAGGCGTGTCGTGCAGACCACGTACGTACACCTTGCGCAACCGTGCGAGTGACGTACTCCCTCGGCCGGCCACCCTACGTTTGCAGAAAAACGTAGCAGACGTAGCCACGACAAAAACGTACGGACAAAAAGCACGCACGGCGAGTTGTGACCGTCGCTTTAATGGATCGTCATTAGTTTTGGTATGTACGTAGCTTACGTGACGTATTAGTAATAATAATACAATTATGCAAATCAGGATCTAATTTCTATAGTTGATGAGGAAATTCTATAAATCTGCTGTATTCCATATTAGGCCTATGAAACACTTTTAGACATATGTAATTGAGAACAACAAGATTATTGGCAGATATTGATTATGTAAATGGACCCCTAATTTGCATAATTGAAGGAAAATCGGTACAGTTTTATGATGATAACTGCCGGGAATGAAATACTTCCATAATTGTAAGTTCGGTAAAGGTGAACATCACTAAACATAATTTATTCAATTTAGGACCTTATTTGCATAATTTATGAGGAAACGCTAGAATAACCTTATTTCTGAACATAACCCTGTTATTCGGTGTAGAATATGATCAACCGATATAGTATATGCAAATGTCCTCTTCTAATATGCATGATCTCAGTGAAAAATATATAATTAGTCAGCTTGGACGGCAAACATGAGTTGATAAAGGTATGTGAGAGGTCGCGCTTGCATATAACCAACAATATAATTCACGAGTTGCACATTCCCAGGATCCTTTGCGCACAGGGTAGGGAAAGGTCGCGGTAAACCACGTGATTCATCCTCGGCTCTGGTCGGAAGAAGTCGGAAGTGTTCGCGAGCGCTCGGAAATTTCAAAAATGGCTGACACCACTGCCGGCGGCGGGAGGCACGTAGTTTTTCACGGCGTTCGTACGGCAAAGCGGCATCGAATTTTTGTTCCATGACTATCGGTATGGCATAGGATAGGGTTGATTCAACATACTACGTGAAAATGTGACAAAAAAAAAAGACTTTTGAAATTGAATGCTCCCAGCCTAGTATCGGCCAGATAGCTTAGGGCACCTTCTTCCGACCAGAGCCGAGGATGAGTCACGTGGTTTACCGCGACCTTTCCCTACCCTGTGCGCAAAGGATCCTGGGAATGTGCAACTCGTGAA